GTTTTGGTTTTCAATTGCATGATGCCAAAATTGAAAGTTTTCCTAAAATGTTATTTTGGTATTCAATAATGGTATTGAAGGCGATCAGACTATAAGCGGGGGTATGTGAGCTGTGCTCACTTCTGCCTTGTTATTGAATGTAATTATAATATATTTATAGTATAAAACTATTGTTTTTCAGTACCCTATTGTTCTATTTGTCAGCACCCAAAATATGATTATCATAAAGAAAAAATGACAGTGACTCCAATTTCTTATTTTTCAGATATTTAAGAGCAAATATAAAGAGAATAAGTTATTATAAAGACCTTCTTGTGAAGTATTCTAAAGCTGCAGACAAGGGCTGGGACACTCTTTGAAGAGAAATTGCAAAGCAAGCGAACTCGTCTGTCCTTTTCATATATCTCCTCTCTCCACCCCACACCCCACACCCCCGTTATCAATTTCGAAATCTTGCCCCCCAACTTTTAAACTGTTCCTACGCCTATGTTAACGTCGCACGCACAACTAAGGTATTTCGGCGACGGGGTAGTATAACTTATTAAGAAATGAGGGGGAACAAAAACTAGAAATTTTGAAAGAGTGGTGTAACTACCCAAAAAAGCAACACCACCACCCCCACCTCCAACCCAGAAAAAACCCAAACAAAACACAACAACAACAACAAAACAAACAAAAAACCAACAACAACTGAGTATTAAGGGAAATTTGAATGGGATGCCGAATTAAAAAGGTGAAAAATATGAAATAGGTAAAGAGTAATAGAGATTTGGAATTTAGTATAGATGTAGTGTAATAAATGGTTATTGTTATTGTTTTTTGTTTGTTTTGTGAAATCATCTCAAGATAAAAACAACTGAATGTACATATTAAATGCTAACAATAAAAACGTCTTTAATCAAACAAACATTTCTTGAGTAAAAAAAACATCAAAACTGCTTGCTCTTACTCCCTTCGATCCCTTTGACAGTTTGGGCTAGTCCATTATTGTTGTAGGTATAGCAGTAATTAACCCCCGACCTGACAGTGTAACAGCTGGCAATATCCGAGTGTGTAACAACTGGCATGTGTAACAAATGGGAGACAACCCTCATAATTAGTCACTTATGTCACGTGTTGTATTTACAACTAGTCGCTTGTGTAACGGGTTTTGTCTTCACAATTAGTCTCTTCTATCAGGTGTTGTATTTACAACTCGTCGCTTGTGTAACGGGTTCTTTCTTTACAATTAGTCACTTCTGTCACATGTGTTGTATTTACAACTAGTCGCTTGTGTAACGGGATTTGTCTTTACAATTAGTTACAATGGCATCGGTTTTCAAATGATAGGTTCATATACATCTGGGTACTACATGAATGAATGAGTGTTTGGTTTTACTCTGCTTTTAGCAATATTCCAGCAGTATCACGGCAGGGGACACCAGAAATGGGCTTCACACAATGTACCCATGTGGGGAATCGAACCCGTGTCTTCGGCGTGACGAGCGAACGCTTTAACCACTAGGCTACCCCACCGCCCCAGGGTACTACATGAAAGCAGTTTGCAAAACAATCTTTCCAATGACACAACATACTGGTGCTTCAAACCTATCCAATTTGTCTAAGAGTGAGTGAGTGAGTGAGTGAGTGAGTGAGTGTGTTCCCCATTACATCTGTTTATTATTATTCATTATTAAAAATATTCCGGTGCGAATATACGTTTTACTTCATTCCCTCGGTTAATATACTCATGCCAATAATGGTTGACACCCCCACCCCACACCCCCTCTCCAATTAAAAAAAATTGAAGTGGGTGACAACCATTATTGGCATGAGTATATATCGGTTATGTGTTCGTGTTTGTGAATCCCGAAGGAGACAGACATAAGCAAACTGGGGGTTATACATTCGTTGAAAACTCATTAACTCATTATGGGGGCCATACGATAAATGTCGTGTTGTCGAGACAAGAAGACTTGTGATATTCGACCACAGTGCAGATAAATGAGTGAGTGAGTATGGTTTTACGCCGATGTTAGCAATATTCATGCAATATCATTGCGGGGGACACCAATGGGATTAACACATTGTACCCATGTGGGGAATCGAACCGGGGTCTTCAGCGTGACGAGCGAACACTTTAACCACTAGACTACCCCAACGCCCCTAATTTGTCTAAGAACAAGATGAGGCACCTGCAAGTCCATGCCGTTCCTGTTCCTGATTTTGATTGTTAGAAGCTTCAAGTTCAATTTGCTTTTTAGCTCATTTTTCAATTATTTTAAAAACCAAAAATACTGTAGAAATCAGCAGTAAGTGTAACTTATAAACCTTGGTGTGACCTTTGATATGAAGTGTATAATCAAGTGAGTGAGTGAGGTCTTACGCCCCTTTTATCAACATTCCAGCAATATCACGGCGGTGGACACCACAAATGGGCTTCACACATTGTACCAATGAGGGGAATCGAACCCGGGTCTTCAGCGTGACGAGCTAGCGCTTTAACCACTAGGCTACCCCACCGCCCTCAAGACTTATTAACTCAGACACATTGAAAAAAACTTACTGCAAAATAGAGTAGACATGATGCCGGGATTGATTAGCATTTATAAAAATGATTTAGTTATGCTTTGTTAATTACACTTGGATTCTTATGCTCACAGTGTTGTTTATAAACCATTGCTAGCGCAGTTTAAACTTCGTTGATGAATATTTCTTTTATAAAACTTATTCGGCAATATTCTATAATACTATAACAAATTGTTTTGTTAACGCAATGTGTGATGAAAGCATGATACATCATTATGTTGAGACTTTTCTACGAATCGCCTTCGTATGTCTGTCGTCTGTGAACCAGTCTTGTTACACAACACTTTGAGCATGCGAGGACGTTCGAGTTACCTCCCTTCAATTTCTAATTTCCCGCGTACATGTATAAAATAATCGTATGCAGTCATATTAAACGAGGCGCCTTACAATCTCCACCATCCGGGCCCGTTCTGTCACATCATAAGGCATGTTATTAGTAAAGCAACTTAAAACAACAAAATTAATATAAGGATGTTTTCTGGAATTTATTTCATGTTATCCCCAAGTTTAAATACACTTAGACTCAGTATTATTCGTTACACTGCTATACTAGCCGAGCCTAACTTTACTTAGACTGGTTATCCCCAAATTTGTATTCAGATTACTGCAAAATGATACAATGATATTACATTCATAACATAGTCCATGTACATATAACACAAACAATTCAAAGGATAAGAAAAAAAATTGCGTTTGTTTGTTGCGGTTTAACGCCTTTCGGCTATATATTCTAGTTCGTTCATGTCATAAACGCAAAAACATCTCCCAGTTAGCCATATTATGAACGTCAATATGTAGAAAGTATTGTATATCTCCAAGTTAGAGCAATTAAGTTATGATTTGGGGTTGGTTTATTTTTTAACGCCGCACTCAGCAATATTCCAGCTATATGGCGGCGGTCTGTAAATAATCGTGTCTGGACCAGACAATCCAGTTATCAACATCTTGAACATCGATCCACGCAATTGGGATACGATCGGGACACTCATCAAAAGCATAAAATGGTATTATAAAGAGGAACTCAGGGTGTTTATTTCAACAGAAATATGTCATGGCACAGACATTGCAATCAGGCAGCAACGCAAGCTAAAGGGGGTGTTCATAGGTATTTGTAAACAGACACATATCTAAAGAGATCCCTCACTCCAGACCTTTATGAAAATATTTGATTGAAAAATAAATTCAGTACTGTTGTATGGCTCTGAAGTATGGGGCTTACAAAATACGGACACCAAAAATGGGTTTCACACATTGTACCCATTTGGGGAATCGAACCCGGGTCCTCGGTGTGTCTGATTACAACGTTATTGTGTAATTTAATCGGCGGTGGGGTAGCCTAGCGCACGACTCGTCATGCAGAAGACCCGGGTTCGATTCCCCACATGGTACAATGTGTGAAGCCCATTTCTGGTGTCCCCCGCCGTATTATTGCTTAAATATTGCTTAAACCGGATAAAACTCACTCACTTGATCAGTAAATTGTGTTAAACTAAAAACCTTCCTGTTACATGGTGCTAACCGCGATTTCTTTTTACTTGAAACCAGAGACCATATAATAATCTATTATGGGATCTGGTGCAACAGAGCGAGATAAATTTTAAAAGACCAACAATGTGTCGAGGCGACTTCTAACTTTTTAACTTTACAAGTTTTTAACTTTACATTGTTTTCTTTACCGACCAAATACATGTATTCCACGTGCACGCACGTCTGAAGCATTGTATAATGCATGAACAAGGTGCTGTCTCACGTATTGTATATTATACACTATATCGATGTTGTGAGTTGGAATCATAGCTATACAACACGATTTAAAAGTCTAAGCCTTTAAGTTAAATTATTTTTAAAATGCTAACTCATGGACCAGAGCAAAAACACCCACAAAACGTGACCAAATGGAGAAATATATATCTCAGAAACGCATACCAAATGTGAATAATAACTAGTGAGAAAACACACGAGGGCAGTTTGCTTCATCTGCAGTCCCGATGTATCGTGAAAGTGCAGTCACACATTTAGTAGTTGTAATGAACGCAACAAAGAAAGAGCATGTTAATGTAAGAAATGTTGTTGCGAAAATAGCACATTTACTCTCGAGTCAAAACTCATTCCTGCATAAGCGCAAAGATACTTATTGTATCGAACCAAGGTTATTGGCGTACGCATTGTTATAGGAGGATAAAAATAATGTATTCCAGGTAAAGCAACCTGTTCGTTTTAGAAGTTGCAACACCTTTAGAAAACATTCGGTCATTGAGATTATTGTCATCCGCCATTGCACAAGACACGACACGCTCGCGTCGCCTATTGGTTTCAACAACGGAGAAGCTTTCAGCCTGTCATAGTTAAGAAGGTTTGCATACAAAATACAGATTTTCCAATTGCATGCTAAATTTAAGTTTTGTATAGTTCATGTAGCCAAACCAGTGGCTGAATAACGAAATTCTTAATCCTTATTATGCAAAGTAAATTTTGATGAGGAAACCCGCCCTTCCATTAGTGGCATTACCTCGCCCGTGTTGTCTGGATCAGGTAGAGTAGTCTTTCTTATAAGTGACAGATCTTCGATAGACGAACCATAATATCCATGATACATGAACAACACCGGCGCTTTGTAAAAGCTCTGATGTCAGCTGTTTTTTCATCGTCTGCTCAGAAACTACGCGCGCCAAAATCTGACGCACGTGGTATGCTCGGCTGTTTGAAGGAGGGATTACTCTACCCTTTGTAACTCGAAAAACATTTACCTTATCTAAAAACGTTAAATGCCATCATTCTTGGTATTTCTGCTTGACAAGAATTTGAACCTTTTCAGTATCTGTACACATACTCAAGCTGAAGGGGTCGTTGTCGGCACGGGTACTACATGTACCCCAGGTACGTTTCTGTTTACAGATATGTACCCTGGCCATAATGAGAATACAGAAACGTACCGTAGGACGATTCCATTCCCATTGTGTCGTATTCTTGATCGGAACTGTCATGCTGTTGTATTAGATACATTTGATTGCTTTATGTAAGTAATGAGAATACACAGTAACATATTTTGCTATGCATATGAATACCACTCACAATCAGTTGAACGGGAATAAGTACATGCGGTTTCGGTTTTGGATTGAGGAATATGGACTCTTCCGCCTTTTAGGGTACCGGGTACGTTTCTGTATTTTTACTTTGTTTAGGGTACATATCTGTATACAGAAACGTACCTAGGGTACGTATCTGTAGTACCTGTGCCAACAACGACCCCTTCAGCCATACTCAACGGTCAACATGATATGGCACTTATTTGCCTTGTCTTTGGAACCAACACTGTCCATTTCGGTTAGTCCAGCATATAACTAGACGACTTTGCACTATACCAAGGTGTGCTCGATGTAGGCCTTGGCTGGAATACAAGTTTATTCATATGAACTAATTTCGGTAAGAGTAATACAGGTTAGGATTGGCCTTCAGCAACCCAGGTTTGCATAAGAGGAAACTAATGTGATTCAAAGGCCAACAGCAATTTGATCTGACCGTTTGACAATAAGAAAAGCAAGATTTAATGGATGTTAACTTTTAATTGTGAATAACACAATGTTTGAGTGTATGCCTGCTCCTTCATCAGGTTTGACAATATTTTCTAAATGGCCCACAAATGAAGACACTTGGACCATGGTCCACTTTTTAGAAACGCTAGAATGAACACTGATAGTAAATACTACGTTCAGAATTTAAATGTTATTTGGAAGCAGTCAGATCATGCTGATGGCCTGGATTCTGCCTTAGTGTTCACGAATGGTGTTTCAAAGTAACAAGACATTGGGTCCTGTAAGTTTCAGATGTCTGTCTGACCCATTGAAAATCACAGGACCCATTGAATAAAATTAAACACACATTTCAGATTTAACATTTCTTATAATTGCTACTGAAGTTATTGACAAACATAAGATTTGTAAACAGCAAACAAGTGTCACATGTCACGTATAACAACTTCAGTCAAAGTCATGAAATATACAGTCAGATGCTGGGGCCGGCAGGTTGTAGACTTCTTTCGGACCATTGGCAAATCTGTCAAAGGGTTAGACACTATTCGTAAGGTTAGGGGAAAATGCTCCCCACGGAAAATGTTTTCAGGGGAAAGCGGTTACTTTCAACACAACAATTTGTGTTTGGTCCACAAAATGTGTCTTATTTATCATGTGTTTTCTTGTGTACTCTAAGTTAGCCTAAACATGGTAAAGGCTCTTAAGTTAAAAATACTCTGTATCCAGTAAGTTAAAGGATAAGTGGTTATTAGGTGAACTAACTCACTACTGTGTTCTGTTGTAGATCCAGCAAGATGGTCTGGGGCCAGAACCAGAATCAACAGAACTATGTGGGGCAAATGGGAATGGGAAACATGAACATGCAAGGCATGGGCTCACTTGGAATGGGAGCAGGTGGGAGGGGCATTCTGGGGGAACCCCCTGTGTCAGGCAGCAACATGGGTATTAGTGGGCTCAACAATATGCAAGGAATGATGGGCAGCAGCAGCAGCAGTGACAACATCGACACCATGATTCAACAGCGACGTCTTCAACAGCAACTTAGTTTGAGAGAGTCCCAGTTGGCTTTGGCAAGTAACTTGCTGCAGAAACAGAACCAGCTGATTATGGATGTGGGGATGCCTGGAAACATTGGCCCAATGTTACCCAGTCCACCAGGCATGTCACGGTCAATGATTCCCTCCTTGCTTGATATGCCATCAAGACATAACAAGCGTTCAGTGCCATCAATGAACCGAGATCTGGATATCAAGCGTCGACGAAGGGATTCGGTAGGTGTTCATCTAATGGATTCTTCTGGGTTTTGTTGCCAGAAGTGAAAAGGCATTATATTATCTATTTCTTTTTTTATTGTCGCAGCATTGGTTATTGTTACACAAAGAATATTTCATGATCTTGATGTGGACCAAGATTTGTTCATTCTACAGAACATCAACACTTCTTCGTAATGGTTGCTTGGAGGGATCCAGTCACAGTGTCTTTCATGATGTCCGAAGAACAAACATTCACAACCAACTTTCAGGTGCATTTTCAAGAACTCGCGGACGTGTTCAGAAGAGTTCATTCCCTTGCAATATTCTCAATACTTCAACACCTTATTTTTCACTCCAGCAAGTGCAGGGTCTGTTGGACCTGTAAGTCCATGGGCTTCCATAAACATTCAAGGCAAATTTATCCAAGTTGAAGACTGGATGTTACAACCTATTGCCATGGTTACTGGTACTGACTGAATTCTTGCAGTATTGTTCCCAGCACATCAAGTGACAGAAGAGCTGAACCAACATTGATCATGCTCCATTTGCATATAATGCATGCAGGAATTTTCTCCTTTCTCGGTTTTGAATTGAATGATTCTATTTTATGTTGGATATTTCAATTTTTACGTCCAAGTTTTATGAAATTTGTCTTTGGACTAGTTAGTATCTATACCACGAATAGTTTTGCAGTAACTTTAACATTTTTTGTTATTTTTCCTCTTTCAACTTATATTCCACGAAGCTTCTCAGTTTTGTGGCTGTTGCTCACATTGCCACTAATCTGACAGTGAAAGATCTGCACATACTCAATACCATCCATCAATGCGTATCATTACCAGTTTTGTAAATATACATAGGGTTATTGATGGTGTCTATTTTGGTATTGAGTATGACATTGATATGGTTCAGTGTGAACCTTTCTACCAATCTAAATGGTATTCAAAATGTTCCTGTTTTGCACAGAGCTACCAATATTCCTGAAAAATCTTCACAAATATTTTCATATTGATGTATTCTGATTGAACATGTTGGTTTTGCTGCTGTGCAAGTTCATAACATCACCTTAATGGGGTGTGGAGAGGTGTGAAAACACCAGTCATCATGATGCTGCTGGAGATTCATGCCCTAGGAGTCGTCTCCCTTCCCACTACTCTGCTCAACATGTGCCCCAAACTGTCATGGTTTCAGTCTTCCCCAAGTGACCACCAGAGGGGGCGAAACCGCAGCTCAGATTTCGATAGAAGGCGAGATTTGGACCGTTATTCTCCTAATCGAAGACGAGAAGAACACACAAGTCGCAGAGATAGACCTAGTCGCTTCAGTCGACGAGATTCAGGTAAACGTTGTACTTTGCTTAAAGGGATGTACATTCATGCTAACTGTTCATGTAGTCAGAACTTAATTCAAGTTTTACAGTGTTTGTAGGACAATTGTAACCAGCTTTCTTGGAATCTTCATTATATTCAGTGGCCCAATTGTCATTCTCTTCAGGACACACATAGAGCCTAGATTGCTCCTTCAGTTTGCACAATAGTGGAGCACATGTTGGGAATGACTTATTTTTTTCACGAGCCTTTTCAGGATCATCCGGCATATCTTTGGATGTTGCGGTGTCTAGTAATTGCTCCTTCGGTTAGACAGCAATAGTTGCTAATCAGTGGTTGAGGCCACTGGCCTAACTTCACCACATGGGACAACAGTAGACATGTCCACCTAGCCCACAACTCATTTCGGACCAGTGATTTACGTAAAATAGTTAGATTTTGGTAGAAAACAACTTGCCCCTCTGGATTTTAACTGGTCTTGAACTAGTGGACTATTCTGTTTCTATCCATGTGGGTTATGATCCACTTGTGATTTCTTGACCATCCGTAGAATTGAGATGTTTTGGTATATATGTTAACTCTATTCACAGTGGACTAGTTCTGTGACTTACAATTACCAAACACATTGCTTGATGATAAAACAAACACTGTAAATGTCATGAAATGTTTGTGTAGTAGTGTTTGTAAGCTATGACAAGCTGTTTGTATGACCTGGTAAAGCACAAGGCCTGTTTTTCAATCCATACATGGACATTGTTGCATGTTGCCTGGGGGTTTCATTCAGGATTTACAACAGCTTGCAGTCCAGTTCTGTGTAAGTGCACATGGATATGACTGTTCTTTGAGATGTTTCCATTCAGCAATGATTACCTAGCTGCCTCTATCTTGCTTTACGTTTCCTGAAGAATCAGCTGTATATTTTTAAATTTGGAATTAATACATAAGGCCAAATAAAAAAAACTATGTCCGTTTCCGGTAACCCGACCGACCCTAAATCTTTTTATAACCAAATCTTGACTGGAGTGCATTTGAACTCATCATTTTCATCCAAATTGAGTATGATATTTTCATGTTTTTCAGTGTACCTAGGGCTAAAATGGATTGCATTGAATTGGCATTATGGACTCTCACTGACAAAACCTGCAAATAAATAACATAAATAATGATTTGATATAGAAATCTATCAATGTTTCATCACAAGACATTATCACAACATGATATGGTATGCTTGAAGACATTCTCAGGTGCCCCACCTGGTGCTACTAAAAAAAAAGTGGAAAAAAAAAGATAAAACCGACCCACCTACCCTATTTTTAAAAAGCATGTAATAGGAAACGGATATATATATTTTTTTGGCCCAAGTTCATAATTTGGAAATCTTTGTTGACCCTGTCATTTGATAGCATACTGATTGCCCTGCTTACCTTGATCAGGAAAAGTGTGACAATTGCATGGTTTTTAACAGCTGATGAAATATGAGTACAGAATGTGTGTGGGTAATACCCAAATTGTCTGATATTAAGCTATTTGTGGTGAATGATTAATGTACGAATCATGCACAAGAAATGGTTGCTCATAAGGTGTTTGGTTACAAAACATTTTGTGATGCTTATTTTCCAGAAAAAGACTGCAGCCTGCAGCCTATGAAAATTCTGTGTTTTCATGAATCCATATGTGTTTTTCATGCTTACAGGTCAAAATAATAAATTAGAATGGCAAATAAAACCTTGCTGCACAGTTTAATATGTAGCTTTTTGTAAATATTTGAACATTAATATTGTATGGATTTTTTAACATTTGTTTGGGAATGTTCTGTAGATCACTTATTACTTGTAATTGGGATAACCAAGAGTGACAGGGATATATTCTGATTGGTGGTCAGTGACTTGCAACATAAATGCATCTTTTATATCTCTTTTTAAATGAAATAAGGATCATTTCATTACTTTTATCAGAACGATGTTGCTATTATTTATCACCCAGTGTAAACTAATTCTTGACAATGATTTCTGCTAGATGAATTACCGCACCGAAGGAGTAGGAATGAACATGAGGAATATGATCCTGCCAAGCCAACTGATGATGAGGTTTGTATGACTCTAAAATGTTCTCGACGTTTCTGTTAACTTCCTCCCTGTAGACAGTTAAAATGTCTTTTCAACATCGTTTACAATGTGGACAAAACCCTTCACCAAGCATATACTAGGCTTATTTGGCACTGTGAAACATTGCTATTCAATCATAAGTATTTCAGATATCTGAAATAAAATGCATATTAAATATGTTATCAGATCATAAAATTTAAAAAGAGTACCAAATCTGGGTAATAGTGTAGTACAAGTAAAATTGGGTTATCAAATTTCTTCCTTCTTTGCAAACAGCTTAACATTATTGTGTTGTAGTGGTTTACATAGGTACAAAGCACATTTGGAGCCTTGTATTACAGACATTTTACCTGACTTTTTCTTATCCAGATGCCGGGGCTTGAGCTAGCAGACAAATATCGCTTTGATGATCGTGCACAGAGGGTATGGTTAACTCAAAGCTCTTTCTCTTGCATGTTCTTTATCTCGACATGATAGAACATGTAGAATATGATATGGTTTACTCAAGACTGCTGAAGTTTTAACAAATGTCTCATCTAAAAATAGGTTTTATATGTTCACTAAGTTGAAAGTTTCACATTCTTTATCTTAAATACATGCATGTATTTGGAGAAAGTGACAAGTGGTATGGGTATATTTGGTTTTCTTCTGTAGGATCATGTAAGTTTTGTTGCTTTTGGATGTCGACATCTGAGCAAAATATTCTCAAGTACGACGTTAAACCCAATTTCACCTCACCTTGTTGCTTTTGGTATGAAATCTTCATGTAAGTAGTCAGGTTCACTAAACAACTAGATTTGTCGAAGGAGATTGGGAAATCTCTGGTTATGATTCCCAACTTTAAAGAATGTGTGAGAATAATACCACCCTATTAATTTCACAATTAGGAATTTTACTAAGGATGTGGCAGTAACATTCATACCTTCCACAAGATGGTCCATAACATTAGTTACTATTTGCATTTTAGTGGCAAATATTTGTCTGTTGGGATAAATGGTCTTTGTATTTTTATTATTTTTCCATATAGTTTTCTACTCTTGTACGATGATGGTTTAAGATATTCTGGATGTACATTATAAGGAGCCAAACTGATCCTGCATCTGTTAGCTTGATCACTGTTAGATTTGAGTGAAGCTGCTGCAGTTGAGTGGATTTGGTTGCAGCTTCAAGACACGTTCCTGTGTTAGAAACAATACATGCATGCTGTTTTTATCTGAATTTGCCAGAGAAATAGAAACAGCACACTGATGTTTTAATTCTGATTAATGTTCTGTCTTGAAGAGTGTAGTTTTCTGCTTTTGAATCATGCATGAAACTATCCCTGTTCTATTTTCCTTCAGACACTGATGCCACCATTAATACTAGAAGTGATGTGTCGAGCTAGTTGGTTGAAATCTTAGTTTGGCTAGATGAGGTGGCATATCTATAGCATTGTGTAGAAAATACAGTCCTACTTGTGAAGATGTGGGTTAGAATTGATCGTCAACATCCTGTGCTTGTGAAAGAATTGGGTGGTCAGGCTCGCTGACTTGAATGACATGTCATCATATCGATGCTTGTCATGTTAATTACTGGATTGTCTGGTCCAGACTTGCTAATTACAGACAGGTGCCACTTAGTTGGAATATTGCTGAATGTGGTGTTAAACTAGAAAATACTGTCCAAATCAGAATAATCTGTTTTTAACAGTTGTCATTCTAAGTTTAAACCAATGACACCTTACACTTTCTGTTTAGTTAAGATCATGTTTTCTGACACAATGTCACTGTGAACACAGTGATTTCATTAAATATTTCCACTGATGGTGTCACTTATCCAAGTTGAAGTAAAACATCTTATAGATTTATCATTGTTTCGTTACTTAAACCCATTCTTCAGTGATGAGAACAATAACGCATTAATAGAGCGTATTCATTCAACTCAACCTGTAGCTCTTACTGACCTGAATAGACATCATAATATTGTTACATGTCAAGCGTTAGAAAAGTACTACTTCAACAAATTTATTAGGCATCTGCCCAATAAAATCATTCCTGGGACATATTATCAGGTAGATGGTGTGCATTTTCTTATTACTGGGGAAATCAGCTCCCTGTTAGCTGAGCCATGGTTTAATCTTACAAGCCAGCTCCATCCAGCTGGCTGGATCTCAGCTGCTCTACCTACTGCAGCCACTGTCATCTCATTTCTCATCTCTTCTTCTCCAGCCACCAGTCGGTGAGAAATCTCCTTTCTACTGCCATGTGTGTGACATGGAGTGCTGCAATGAACAGGTAGTTCTGTCACTCACACCGTCTCTTGTGTGTTGCCAGTGCTCTGCCCCAGTGCTGTGTGGGCTGGGCACTAATTTTGCCACTTTCCCGGCCCACTCTTGGGCTCAGTTATCTAGATATTCTTAAACATTTGCCTCTTGTGTTTCATTGGAAACTGCCTTGTTCAAATATTTAACTAAACATGCTTTTTTTCATGTTTTACTTAATCTGAAAATGTTATTTTTCTTTTGTTTATTTAGTGATCTTTACTGTAACATGTCATATTTGTCCATGCTTTTATTCTTTATTCTTTTTTTTAAAATTCTGTACTTTAACAAAGACCCTCTTCATATTCCATGGGAGATTCCAATTTAAAAATCCCCTCAGCCCAATTCTTGATGTGAAAGACCACTACTGGGGTTTGTTGAGGGAAGATTGTACGTCATGCCCTATAGTGAGGGGTTGATAATATCGTGTCACATATTGGGGTAGGAGAATGTGTCATCGTGCCTCATAGCGTAGATGTGATGGTGTGTGGAGCGCTACTTGTCTCCCACCACTGCTTCTCTTTGGGCTGACTCACTAAATAGCTGGAACATTGCTGATTGCTGCAGAAACGTCACACCTTGAATCAGTCCAATCTGTCTTTACTACACTCATATAACTTGTCACCTTTTGTTACCATGGTAGTCATGGTCTCACCTTCTCATGGGACTCTTTGATAATTCTGTCGCGCTCCTCCTTGGCTTTTTTCATGATGAACTTGAAACACTTTAATAACTTACTCGTAAGATTGCCTTTTGATTTTACGTTTTTCATAAGTTTGTTTTACTTTTGGCATAACAATAGTTATTGTGCATGGTGGTGACCATGGTTACATGTTTCCTACCTGGAATGTTTCTTCCATCTTGCCTGCTGTCATGTCCGAATGTCCAGTATCCATCCTTATGTATCCCTTCACACCTATGTACTTGACACAAGAGGTATAATGTCTAAGATGTTTGATGTGGCCATGCAGGTTTCTAGTTCTGTATCATACCCTGATTCCTGCTTCTGCTTTGTCATGATGTGTAGATCATCCCTTGCAACATAAACATCTCCCTGCTTTGGGGATTGTAGCCTAGACATTGGTTATTATAGCCATGGCCACCTTGCTGGTAAGTCCACTATACTCTGAATGAGTTGAAAGCTACTTGCAAAACCCTATCTTGGTTGGACATGGGTAATCTCCCTTGCATTGAATGTCAGAGTTCAAAGTCTTTCTGTCCAGGTAAATTTGAAGAAAGGCTAATTTAGAACTAACTATGTGACCTTTTTTCGTGTTTCTGAAAAGGTTAACTTTAGTGGTAATCTTTACTTAATGATTTTTTGACCAGACAAGAATCCCACAATGTTTGTTCATGGCTTTTCATGGATACAAGAAGTACTATTTTTTTCTCCCCATTTATCATGTTTATGGATTTTATGGTCAGAAAATATAATTTTTCTTAAAAATGTATAAAATAAAATGTTATTACATAGTTACCAAAAAATGGCAAAGGCTGTATGACTATTCAAGATTTGTATTTCCTTTAAGAAGCTCCAGCTGAAATTTCCAATTACCTGTCTAAGCTCTTGACATACATGCAAGTGTGGTGGCTGCTAGATTCTTGTAGTGATGTACAAAGGATATTTATGGATGCATGGGGACATAGGGTTAGAAGAAAAATGTATATTGAAGTTTACTGTGTGACAAACCAAGGTAAGTTGTCTGTGAAAACATGTATGTAATTTCTGTCAGTTAAGGTTTCTTCTATTTTCCAAGTTTTCCTGTTTTCTGATCTGACCTCTTAATCTGTCACATTCAAATTGTGTCATGCAACACATCTGTCATGTCTAATGTGAGGTACTTGTAAGAGTTGAGCATGTTGGAAACGATCCTGACTGTATGGACAGACAGACAGCACATTGTGACCCTCTGAAGACAGATCCTGTTGGGGCCTTATACTTTTGAGTTTAAAAGTCCAAATGTCTCAGTGGCTTGTTCAGTATATGTTTGTTCGAGCTTCCAACCTGACCTATAAGGTCCCTGAATCCAGCAGAACACTGCCTCATTCCTCTATGTAATGTTAGGGCTGTTGTCACTCCCACACTTTAACTTCGATGTATAGAGGCCCTAGTATGCTGTCATACTTGCAGGCATGGATAAACAGTCACACAATTTGTCTTCTCCCAGCCTGTCAGCACCAATGATACAGCTCTTCCGCTCTCAACTACAACTTGGAAAATGTTTCACTCACTATCCATTTTCTGTCACTATAAAAGTGAAACAGTTCTGCACTTTCTAGCCTCTCCTATTCTGTCCTGTTTCCCTTGACGGCCTCTTGCAGGTCTGTACGTAAACATTCTGTCTGGCTTCATTTCTGTCACTATTCTTGATTCTGTTACTACTTTGAATATTGATACAAATCTGCAACGTGTCACCTGTCATGTCTACCTGAATGACCTCCGACAGGTATCTGTTGAGTTGTAATAACATGCTCACCAGTGTGTGTTCTGTTGCACTTTGCTTTCATTATTTCTTCTAACACTTTATTTCATAGTTTTAATTTTCAGTTTTCAAAACACAGTATATTTGCAAGGTTACGAATGAACAGACACTTGAAATGAAATTCTTTAGAGCATCTACTTGCATATATTTTTTGTCAATAGCTGAAAGCTATTTTCTTCTTTTTCAGCTAAAAGCATGCAAGCTATTCATGCTAATACATTGATAGTGTAGTGGTAGTTGTTGAGAGGTAGTGTCATGCACTGGAGGTTTTGCACAAGTTTTGCAATATTTTTGATGTAGCACTACAAAACTGATAATCAATTATACTATACTTTGGCATGTAGTTTTCTTTGGAACTGCATGTTTATGACCCATAAAGTATTTTTTTAATAGTAATGCATCATAAGGTGTCAACTCTTCCTTGGCATGCATACTCATTGTCTGCCTCACAGGCTTCCTTAGCAATGGGGTAGTCTTGTGGTTAAAGTGTTTGCTCGTTACCCTCAAGGCCCGGGTTCAATTCCCCACATGGGTACAATGTGTAAAGCCCATTTCTGGTTCCCCGTAGTGATATTGCTGGAATATTGCTAAAAGCGGTGTAAAACCATATTCACTCACTTACAGGCTTCCTGTATCTTAGTCTTTGGTTGATTCTGGAATGTGTCTAGGCCAGCATAGAGGCTGATATTCAGCCCCAAGTCTGCAGCCAATATCAGTAAAGTCACAAATTTGTATTTAGAAATTTCCCTATTAATGTAAATGTAGTTAGAACCAATAATAACCAGTGTCATGACTTTGTACAGCTGGTACAGATTCACCCATAACAGGACCAGTAAAGTGAGTTGTAAAGGCATGCATGCTTAGTTTTACATTATTCCAGTGAATACAGTTTTATAATGCCCACTTGTTTAAGAAAGCAAAAATCTCAATTTTGAAAATGCTAGTAATACAGTTTGTCTGCCAGGGGTATATATTTTGGAATCCTAAATAAATCTTTCATTAGGGATCACATGGAGTGGAGCTTGACAGCTTGTCAAGCTAACTGATCATACAAACTGCCAAGACACAATAGGCATGGTTCACTTTCTACCTTTGGTGAAATATAGAATGCCTGGTTTTAGTGCCAGCTGGCATGGTAGTGCCTGAGTATTGCAAGCAGCTTAAAACCATACTCTAGTAAATAACGGTGGAACATTGTATGCATGCCTGTGAGGCATCGACAACAGTAGGCTGGAAAGTGATGGCCTGAACTGTGAGCACAACGCAAGTAACAAGTTGTTTGTTGGTGTTCCAGAACTTCCGGGATCACATGTCCAGTACAAGGCACAAGGACAGAATGTCTGATGTCCTGAACGTAACAAGCAAGAAATCTAGTCATGTCGAGGCACGCCTCAAAGCACAGGAGCATCTGAAGCGCATAGAAAGCACCAGGTTTGTAACCATGACAACCCATCATGCAGTTTGTGCCATGTTGATCTGCATTCATGTGGACAACTATGTCCATGTTTCATCAACTGGTGAACCTATTTCTCTGTCTAGGAACAACTGCTTTAAAGAGCTCAGTCTGACATATTGTGTAACATTAAAACTTTAAACTAAGTTCTATTTATTATAGAGTTGGCTTCTGCAAGGTGTGTGACCAGGAGCTTGGCATCCCCTTCCTGCGACACAAGCTGACCACTCTACACAAGGTAAGCTGGACATGACGTATGAGAAACTTCTAACAGGGTTCGATTTGGCTGTATAAAACAGGCGGAACTCTTATTTAAAAACATATGCTGTTATTTGTCTGCATGCAAAAATTGAATTTGGAAAAAAAAGATTTGCCTGAGTAACCATTCAACATCCAGATAAGATGAATTAACAATACAATAATTAACAAAAATGCAAATATTTATGTGAAAACTCAATTCTTATTAAGTCTATTTCGTACAAGTATGTTTGAAGTTTTGTAAATATGCTCAATAAATTTGTTCTTACATGCGTACACTAAAAAATGTCGAATCACAGCTTGCGTACTGGTGCATAGATAAAATAACTGAGGTATATTTCGGAGGTTCTATTTCAACACATGAATTTGACTACTTGCAGTCTTTATTATCTTTTCTCATATTACAGATCCAATATAAACAACATTTAAACTTATTATATTTTTACAATTAATGGAAAATGGCAAAATGCCCAATTGAGTTTGAGTGAGGTGGGTCCAATTTATTTGGTTACTCAAAGGAAAATTAGGATACCCATTTGAGATGAACACAAGCGAGTACATAACTCAATGACCCCAAAAAGTTATCTGAAGCTCTGGTACAGTATCACTTCATGGTTATGTGCCGATATCAGTTATATTCAACAGAAATATGTTATAAATTTGTGAATTTGGCAGCAGATGTTTTATAAATTTATGGTACCAGGGTATGTGCAGTGTTGTCACTGCAACTGATGCAACCAACCATTAGTTTATGAAGTAATGTCAAAAATATTCAGCCAGGGGCAGCATGTAGCCGCTGTGTAAATGGTATTCTTCTTTAGATTTAACTTTGAAGAAAGTGGTCTTTTCAGTTTCATTATTCAACCGTGTTGGTCTTCATTATCTAACCCGTTAAGGTCCGGGTTAGAATGAGCCTTCAGTAACCCATGCTTGTAGTAAGAGGCGACTAACGGGATCGGGTGGTCAGGCTCGCTGGCTGAGTTGACACGTCATCGGTTCTCAATTGTGCAGATCGATGCTCATGCTGTTGATCACTGGATTGTCTGGTCCAGGCTCGATTATTTACAGGCCGCCGCTATATAGCTGGAATATTGCTGAGTGCGGCGTAAAAATAAACTCGCTCACTCACTTCATTATCTTCAGGCGGTGGGGTAGCCTAGTGGTTAAAGTGTTCGCTCGTCGCGCCAAAGACCCGGGTTCGATTCCCCACATGGGTACAATATGTGAAGCCCATTTCTGGTGTCCCCTGCCATGATATTGCTGGAATATTGCTAAAAGTGGCGTAAAACCATACTCGTTCACTTCATTATCTTCATGACAGCATTAAAACTAAAACGTTTATCTAACACCTTTCATGTGTTTTAGACTATTTCCAGATGAATCCCAGTTATTATCCTGTACCTCAAAGAAGGTACTTTAACATACACCCTTTAATGTTTTTGCACTCCTCCCTGAATCATACATGTATGTTTGTGCATCCTCATGCAGGCTCTCTTTACATTATAAATAATGTTCAAAGAGCATAAACCAAAGTACGAAATTATGACTTCAACACCTGAATGATCTTTGTTTCAGAAACCGGAGATGCAGGTGAGGAAGGGATGTGGCTGGTGTGGCGTGACGAACTTCCTTAACTTCTCCGAGGTCCTCAAACACAGAGAGAGACAGGTTCACAAGGAGGTACGTACTATATAGCCTACAGTCAAACACTGGGAGAGAGACTCAACTATGCAGAAGGAATGGTAGTGAGACTTCTACTTCCTGTTCAGCTCATTGATCTTCAGAATCGGCATGAAAGGATAACTAGATAGGTCACCTTCTGCAAGATAATACTATCATTAAAGTATTTTTATGTCCTAAGTTCCAGTGTGAAAGCTTTGCCTGTGTAAATGTTAGCAATCATAATTGTCATTTTCTCTTGATGTTATTGAATGACTTCTCATTTGTTTTCATGCATGTTGCCAAATGCTACACCACTTCACTCTGGAGATAATTTTCATCTTTACATGATACATGAAACTTATTCTCATATCAAGTGTGTACTTGAATTTAATGACATCTGATTATCACATTGAAATATTTAGTAATATAAATGTTATTTTTATCTGGCATAATACTTCATGTAATAACGAAAACGTTTTGTGTTTTAATAGAATGCTGCTAAATATGGAAAGAAGCCAGAAGTAAATTCTGATACGAGGAGGACTGACATGAGATCAGGACGATCATCCAACCTAGTTACGGTAGATAGTGTTGGTTACAGCCCGAATGGAGAGGACAGAAGGGTAAATTACTGGAGTTTCGTGGAAAAGTACAACCCAGTCTGGAATCTCCACTCCATGGATAAACTTGATCTCTGTTCTTAGTGTCCATCTCATGACCTTTGAACAAAGATCTATTGTTCACTGTGGAACTCGCTCCTATGATCTCAAAGACTCCTTTCACAAATACAACATCCTGATTTTACCATGTGCTATGAGCAACATTGCGCTTAACAGATGCAATTTATTTATTGTTCTTGTTGTAAAAGTTTCTTCTTAACAACTGAATGGCAGTTTTTAATGAAATGTGCTACATTTTGACATATCTTCAAGGGATGAGTTTATCACGACGGTCTTCTGACACTGCTGAAGTCATAACGTGATACTGATGAAGTCTGTTAAAGTAGATATTCTCAGATTTGATAGATAAAAGCTCTGTGGGAGTTCCAGATGTTCAGGAATAGCTCTGGCAGAATAGGTCCCCAGTATGTTACACATCAAAGTGGACAGCTGAAATGGGGAATGGGAGGGCAGTCATCTGAATTTCTGGATATATGACTTTTTCTTTTTATCAATGCAATTCACAAGAATACAGTTTGGATATCATATCTTTATCATTACTTTCAGTCTAGACCAAGGACAGCAGGTCGACCTGGATATTCCTCTAGATCATCTGCATCGGGCAGATCTGAGACATCCCGATCTGGAACATCAAGATCAGCTACGTCAGCCAAATCTGACACTAAGGAGGTAGACCTATGTCCTGAGTTGCAGTTTGAAGCGGAGACAGCTATTGGTGAGTTCACTTAATTCAGCAGGGTTATAATGTTCCTTGTATCAGAAAACCTGTAGGGAGGCTCTCTTAAGCTAGGTACCCACAAGCCTATTCTGGTGAAAGATGACAAAATCTGTTATCAGGCTGTGTCATCTTATCCCAATGGCATGGATTTTAGCTCACAGTATCAGTTATTGACAGGTCATCTTATGTCATCTGTGGGCTTATGTACGAAACATACCATTTAGATACTGATTTTAGGGTTCAAGTTAAGGGATCGGCTGATCTTTGAGATTGGCTTATCCACGGTAATATATGGTACCTATCTTGTCGAGGATAGGGACAAGCCCTAAATTTGAAGATAAACCAAAAGTATTCATTTTTGTAAGTTTCAATTTCAAAGGGCACATTTTCTCACCTGTCTAAATGCTTCACAAGACTTATTTTTTCCAACTGCAGCGTTACTAGTCTTTGAAATATTTTATTAGTGAACGCATCCATAATTTTTTGCCATTACGATTCACCGTTGAAAGTGCTGAAGGTGACATATACCATTGATCCTCAAGTCTGTTTCAGTTTTCACATTGGTGTAAAGTAGCTTTTCACAATCTTTTCATGAACGTTTAAAAATATACATGCATGATATGATTTACACTGTTATCTTTCTTTACAAATTATGATGTTAACATTCACTTAGTTTGAAAACTGAAACTCTTCAAGTGATGAGTTTATCACGACGGTCTTCTGACACTACTGAAGCTAAAACGTGATACTGATGAAGTTTTACAAGAAAGTAGATATTCTTACTTGTAATTGAGATATCCAGGGGGATTTTAGGGCACGTGAAGTGCCTAGTTTTGAGCACACTCTCACCTTTCCATTCTGATATAAATACCTACAATCACCTTGACACCTATTTTCTTTTCACAAGTCATGTCACCATGCCCATCTCATATTTATGTGTCACAGGATTTCTCTCGCTAATGAATTGAGCTGAGTGTTTTAGCGTCGATAAATTGAATTAGTCTCAAAATGAACCTATGTTTGTGAATGGGTCCAAGGTATTTATCATTATCATAACAGAATGCTAATTGATACACAAGGTAACAGAGGATTCCTGCCATCACATACCTGCAATACTCATTCATTTATAATGGGTAAAGAGGTATCTGGTATTATTCAGTATCCTTTGTCCCATCAACACTGAATGTATCATGTCGTATACATGGCCTGTTTTGTCATTGGCAGGGACAGTTTTCTACCTTTGTATATTGTTAATGAATTAACCAGAGTTGCAAATAGAATCCTGAAGGTGTAGTTCAATAGATTTTAGGTGAGAGAATGTGATATGGAATGTCATAAAATATTTATTGCCTGATGAGATAACCATCAAAAAATCTTCAGCATGTTCAAGTGATGAGTTTATCACGACGGTCTTCTGAAAATATATTGAAGTCAAAACGTGATACTGATGAAACCAAGCTGTTTCACTGATTATGGATGTATGGTGGTATTCATTATTCTTAAGACCTTGCAACGTTTTTCCTTCAGGTCAGAACTATGTTATTCCTGTGTCTGGTTTCTTCTGCAAGCTGTGTCACAAGTTCTACAACACCGAAACAGCTGCCAAGGTTACCCACTGTCAGTCGCAGGCACACTTCACCATGTTCAAGGTAAAGGAGGCAGCCATCTACAATATCTAAGCTAATTGTTTGATGGAGACCAGGAAAAAGTCGTTATGCTGACTTTATGGGTTCATTTATTTGATATTATTGAAATTCCTGGAATAAAAAGGACAACTCTGTCACACATTATTTTCTATTGGGGTTGAAGTTAAGGTATCTTCCACAAATGTCTTGAATGTGTACACATGATCAAGTAGTGCCCCAACCTAATGTGCAGAATTGTAATTCTGTGTCTGTGTTTGTGTATTTTCAGAAGGCCAAAAATGCTGCTAAAGCACGAGCCTTGGCTCAGAAGAAGACCTCAACTCCTGTCGGTGCTGAGGATGAAACGAAACCGGTCAAGGAGGATACAGACAGTGCCCAGGCTGAGCAGGAAGGGGAGGAGAAGGACAGGGAGGAGCAGGAGGCTGCTGAGAAGGATGAGAAGACAGAAGATGAGGGCCTGGAAGAGGCAGAGAACCAAAATGGAGAAAATGAAGATGCCAAGGGTCCAAATGAAAGTGAGGATGGCCAAGGTGGGATGGCCAAGGTGAGACAGAGGAAGGTCAAGGTCAGGCTTCTGAAGCTGCTGAAGAATTTGACCAGGATGAGGAAGCTAACGGAGGTATGAAGGCAGAAGCTGATGATTATCCTGAGGAGGATGAAAAGCATTTGACAGAGGAAGAGCAAGAGGAGAAGCTTTTGGAAAAGGATGATAATGAGTCAGAGACTGGAGAAATGCTGGGAGATATGTTTGCTGATGACGATGAAGATGATACTGCTATTATAGATTTAGCAGATGTGAGCTCAGAGGCAGCAGGTGATGAGAAGGACACAGAGATATCTGTCCAAGAATCTGAGGAGGTAGCAGAGCAGGTTGATGAAGTTGTTGAGGAAGCCCCAGCCGCTGATACCTCTCCTGTTGTTAAAGGAAGAGGCCGGGGTAGAGGCCGAGGAGTGGGGCGGAGAGGAAGAAGGGGAAGAAAGTGAAGGAACTGGGTGAATCTGTGAGAGGATGTAAGTGTGAGTTGTGTGAATTACCTTTCTTGTGACACATTTAATTGAGCTTCTTTGGTAAACATTGTCATCTCTTGCAACTTTTTAGGCTTAATGAAGTGTGGAACACGCATCATGTCATCCAAAGTTTGAGTTGTTCAAAAAGCAGTCAATTTTAACTCTGTTTAATCAACTGCAACTTCACCTGCTTGTTCTTGTTCCATACAACAAATATTGGACCGGGTTATTTTCATATTGTTCACATTGATTTACAATACTTGTTAAATTATTCATTAGAACTCTATATTGCTTTCATACTTCAGTTGTACATATACATGGCATATGTACCTATTTGGATGGGTAACAAACAATTTAGTCTCCAGTGCGAATCCTACAGAAATAAGAACCTTTATACCGAGTTGTATCATCAAGTTGTCAATGTAATTATTGTCAGTTAAAACCACCCCTGCTTCAGCTGTCATTTATGTAGTGTGTTACTAGGTGACAATTCCCTGTAAATAGTTTTGCATGTTGTCACCCTAAATGTACTTAATACTTTTCACTCCAAAGAAGATGGCACAGTCTCTGCTACAACTTGCCATAGTCAGTGTCTGTTTTTAAGGAAATGTTTTGTTACAAATTTTGAAACGTTTCATTATGCTGCTATCAAGTCCTCTTGATAATTGTTATTGCTTTCACATAACTGTGCTGAGAGTTGTCTATTAGGTTTAGGTTGTTGCAGTGAAATATTTTCAGGGGCAAGAATTAATTTGTGTTGACTTGGATAGAAATGGAATTTTGTCGAAGATTGTTGTTTGGCACCAGACAGATAGTTTGTGAAAGTAAGTTTGCCCATAGTTTTTGATGATCCAGACTATGTATCACAATAGTTGTGCCATTTCACTTTATTAATAAATCAGTAAACATGTAGACCTGTGAGCTGGATTTCTAAACAGTGTCATGACTGCAAGAATAGTTACTGGTAACCTTCATTTGTCCTGGACCCAGAAACTTGCCGGAAACTGTTGTCACCCGAAACGAGATTTCGCTTCACAGGCACTGTGATTCAAAATTGTTATGCCCTTGTGAAGCTGTGAGACTGAGAGAGTGCCACTGAGAAATAGTTTGATGGGGTTCAAAAACATGTTTTCTGTTATTTGAGTTCTCAAACTTATTGCAGTTTCTGATATATGAATTGTGGCGATGGTAATCTGTATAATTTTAGGTGTGCAGCCAGGGCACTGAAAATACTTCACCTGTGCTATTTCAATATTTACTGTGCCATGTTCTGCAAATCCAGCATTATTTTGATCACTGATGTTGGTAATTTGTTTGAATTTATTTCTTGTGATCAAGATTGTCATTTCACTGTACCATTTCAGCAAACATTTGGAAAAAATATTTCCATGTGTTGTGTTATGTATTTTTCTATTTTGATAATAAGATTGAATCAAAGCTCTGATATTGGTGCAATGTTCTTTTTGCTGAACAAAAAGTCTGAGTCGACTAATATAACATCCTGAAGATCTAATATAGCTAAGCACATGACATTTGCTTTCAACAAAATGTATGAATACATTAGAAATAAAAATGTTGTTGTACCAGAGCGATTTCTGTGGGGTTTTTTGTATGGTGTTAGAATTGGTGTGTGGTGGAAGACTGAACTAGTATCCACTGAATCTATGGAATTCTAAGGAGATTATTACCAGGTTTGTTTGACTTTGTTCTCAAGAATGGATGGCCCGGGTAAAACTGTTTTTCTTTGAAGTTTCCTTGTCTGCAAAGAATGATACTCAAAGCAAGAAAACAGTGTTTTATGACCCATAGAAACATGTCTGACACTGTGGGTGATAACGATATGGTGGCAGTTCACACCAAGTGGTGAGTGAGAAGGTTTACGCTGCAATATTCCAGCTATGTGGAGATGGTCTGTAAATAATCAATTCTGGGCCCCGACAATCCAGTGATCAACATGAGCATCAATATACGCAATTGGGATTCGATGACAGGTTTCAATCAAGTTAGCGAACCTGACCACCCGATCCCGTTAGTTGCCTTTTAGAACAAGCATGGGTAACTCTAGGGTATGAAACTCTCCAAAATTTCAGCCCGACTACAGGGCTGGTTAGATGTAACACTTGCCAGCCCTGACCAAAACCTACTTGCCCACAAATAATTTAGGTTTGACAAGCGACGTAGTTTTATCATCCAATTATATCCTGAAATCTGATGAATATCTTCATATGCATGTCTAAATTTTAATCTGACCATCCGGCAGGTGAATTTGATAATCTGGCAGTTCGTGTTGAAAATATTCCATCCCGGGCCGTCGGGCGGGCAGGCAGGCATTTCGAACGCTGGTAACAGGGTTGCTGAAGATCAATTCTATCCCAGATATTAATGGGCCGGTTGAACCAGAGTTCAAAGCGGTTTCTAATATGTGAGCTCTAACCTTGCGCTTGTGAGTTTCATCAAAATGGTAAATGTAGACTACCTTCACTTGGGGCTTTCCTACCACATTACACTGACATGTTGCGATATAAGACTAAGTGACTTTACAACAAAAAATACTTGCATGAATGTTCGAAAATGAATGAAAATTCAAACTTATGTGTATGCAGATGATCAACAACATGGGTTATAAATAGTTCTTCAGTGTAGCATGTGCGTTCCACACAAAGACTGACCTGTGCAAATGCCTAGGTAGCAATTCAGCTTTTACATCCTGTCGACAAATGTTGGTACGAAACTTCGTTAGGGAGTCCGCGAACTAAATTGTGCGTTTGTTTCGAAAACTCTGATAAGTGTTTGGAAAACAAATAAGTTTCCATGCACAACCAGGTCTGAAAATAATAGACTATCAGAAAGGAGCTGCTGTACACAAATATTGAATTTGCAGAAAAGATCCAAGTGGCACTGAAAGATGAATACATGATACGTTTTATGGATAACAACTTATTTATTCTTTACACGACGTTCCAGAGCTAATTCCTGCTCCATCAGGTGAATGCTGAGTCTGTACAAAGAGTGTATACATATAGATAGAAACATGTTTACACAATACAAGGAGGGAGAATGTAGAAAAGATAATATAATTACGAAGCCAATTAGATTGGATTAATGCACAAAGATAACAATGTATTGTATTGACAAAGCCAAGAGCGGGGGTGGGGTGTATTGATGTACAAATATAACAATGTATTGTAATGACAAAGCCAAGAGTGGGGGTGGGGTGTGTTGATGTACAAAGATAACAATGTATTGTAATGACAAAGCCAAGAGTGGGGGTGGGGTGTGTTGATGTACAAATATAACAATGTATTGTAATGACAAAGCCAAGAGCGGGGTGGGGTGTGTTGATGTACAAAGATAACAATGTATTGTAATGACAAAGCCAAGAGTGGGAGTGGTGTGTCTTGATGTACAAAGATAACAATGTATTGTAATGACAAAGCCAAGAGCGGGGGTGGGGTGTGTTGATGTACAAAGATAACAATGTATTGTAATGACAAAGCCAAGAGCGGGGGTGGTGTGTGTTGATCTACAAAGATAACAACTTAATAAGAAGCCAATGATGACAGCATGATAGGAAGCCAATTAGATAGGATTAATGTACAAAGATAACAATGTAAGGATGAGGCCAAGAGATTATGGGACAATAGAGAGTACACTGTGATGGTAAATGCCTTGGCATTGAAAGAGTAAATCGTAACAGTTTTCACAGGTATCTTTCCGCGAATTTCCATGAAAACAATTGCTGCCAGTTGGAGGTGATTGGTTCATCATTGATTATGTACTAATGCAATGCCCACATGTGGTCTTCCCTGATTTCATATTCCTTTTGTACTGCTTTACGGGTACGAATGTGTATAACATTGCTTACATACTTCATACCGTGGTGTAGTGGTTAGAGGGTGTACGCCCGGAGAGCGGAAGGTCGTGGGTTCGATACCCAGTCGCGTCATATCAAACGACGTTAAAATATGGTACCTAATTGTTGGTCCCTGCCTGGCACTTGGGATTAATGGGTACAACATGCTTAACTGCGACATGGTATCTCAGTGAGCTAGCGCAATAACACAAGCTTAAGTCTGGGCTTGTACAAGCAGCCACACATATAGACAGACAGATAGACAAAATAGTTTATTTTTGTGTCACGTGAATGTACATTGAAATAAAAAAGGCAGTGGTAAAAACAAAATATACAAACACCAGGCCAAATGGCCAATGAGACACACTAGACAATATGTGCATAAAATGTACAAAATATAAGCAAAACAAAAAAGGATTATGCATGCACGTCATCATAAGAGCGAAATAATCTAAGTTCGACGTTAAACCCGACGTTCGACGTTACTTTTTTGGTTGGTATTGCAATGATATACACTGCAGTCTAATGTCAAAACAATAAAAATATTGGAAATCCATGAAGAATGCACAAATAAATATTTCCAGTCAGCTTTGTCCAAGTGAGTGAGTGAGTTTAGTTTTACGCCGTACTCAGCAATAATCCAGCTATATGGCGGCGGTCTGTAAATAATCGAGTCTGGACCAGACAATCCAGTGATCAACAGCATGAGCATCGACCTGCGCAATGGGGAACTGATGACATGTGTCAACCAAGGCAGTGAGCCTGACCACCCGATCCCGTTAGTCGCCTCTTACGACAAGCATGGGTTACTGAAGGTTCATTCTAACCCGGGCCTTAACGGGTCTTTGTCCAAGAGCTTGTCCATGACTCAAAATATACAAAGCAATGAAACATGAATTTATTTATGAAACTTTATAAATCTTTCATGCATTCATGTAATTATTGAACAAGATTAGTCTTGTCAAGCCATCAGTATATAATAAAAGTATTATACTTCATGGATAACAACTTCTTTATTTATTATGATGCGATGTTTCGGTATAGCTTCCTCCAAGTGTTACTGCATTATTGCCTATTCTATTGTTGTTGTTAATCCTTTTGATGTATTCCCTCATGTTGTCTTACTTAATCCCTGTTACATGTTTAAAAGTCGGTTCTGTACTGTATTACTTTACTCTTGCTTGACAACGGTATAAGAAGCTATACCCAGGGAGATTATGTAGATTAATTATCCCTACTATACCGAAACGTTGCATCATAATAAATAAAAAAGTTGTTATCCATAAAGTATTATACTTTTCTATAATCCATCAACTTCAAAAATGACAATCAAACACATCAGTATATCATTTCATTTTAAACAACATTCACACCTAATTGCCACTCTGTCGCCGAGATTGCCAATGAACTAAAAAAAGGAAGTTAATTCTATTTCAGTGTCTCGAAGTTAATTCTATTTCAGTGTCTCGAAGTTACGTCATTAATGTTCACTGAAGCAATTAGAGACTAAAAAAAAGTATTGTGAATAAAATTAATGTAAACCCCGCAGATTCGAACTTGAAACAACGAGTAGACCTCAACATCACGGTCATGGTCGTCTCGGTATGTGAGATTGACAATCGCCACGTGTCTTACTATCTTTATTTATGTCAAAAGGTAAGTGAGCCGGATAGCGTCTGTGGATCTTAGACTCTGTCGCTTGCGCGTGCAGTGTCTATATTCAAGGTTTGTGAATTGTTCAATACAACGAAGTATCCACCTGACAACGCCTGCCCGGGAAATGTTTGTTGAAATTTTCGATTAGGAGCGTTGGCCTCGAGCGACGACGGGAACAGTAAAAATGGCCACACGAAACAAAAAGTGAAAACCGTCAAAATCCAAAGGCCCAAAAGACCACATGAAATGAATGACTATACAAATATAAGACCTACAAAGTCTGAAGAGGCTTGCAAAAAATAGATCAACAAGGGGAACAACTCTTCGGGAATTACCTTCTACTCCTTGCTGCGCTTTTAGGACTCGCTTTTTACATACAATTAATAGGCACAACGTCTTCGAGATGTATCATTCAGTCTTGTATTTCCGGCTGACGACAGGCGGTGGTGCTCGTATCTTGAGATTGAAAACTAACAAACACGAAAACTAGATGGAAGGTATATTGAAGAAACTCCCCAAGACACCTACTGATTGGGGTGCATTCGCTTTCCTACTTTTCGGGATACATGCTATTGGGCTGTATGAATTATTGGTGGTCCTTCCATTCTACAAATCACTGCACCCGGAACTTCTGTTCTACACCCACGTCCTGGTGGGTACGTTCATATATATCAACACAGTCACTAACCTGTGGAAAGTCATGACAACAGCCACAAGCACAAAAGGTATCATGATGCCAGTGATATTAAAACCTGGATGGAGGTTTTGTACAAACTGTGAATGCAACTCACCACCGAGATCCTTCCACTGCTTTGTATGTAAGAAATGTATCTTAAAACGGGATCACCACTGTAACTTCACCGGAAACTGCATCGGCTACAAAAATCATCGATTCTACATAATGCTAGTGTTTTACATGTGTGCTGCTGCCATTTATTCAAATATTTTGAATATTGATTATATTTATCACTTATTTGGAGAGTTTTCCCCAAAGACTGTTTTCATCATTATCTTGCCCATGATGGCATGGTTATCAGGATTCATGCAGTCTGTGTCGGTGGGCGGTGCTCTCATGACAA